ACACACACATACACGCAGAAGAACACACACCATCACACTACAGCCCAGGTGTGTCAGGTAAAGACTGACTGAACTGTGTTTGATAACAAATACTGATGACCTAAAGATCTATTATTGCATCTCATCCTCCTCACACGCTCGTGTTTGTGCGTTCAGGGTTTGTGACGTGTGCGCTTTGAGGGATCATGTCTGTGGTCTTCACACCCGATGGGATGTTGGAGGGCGACGGCTCTCTGTCCACCGATGCTTCCGCGGGCATCCGTGGCCAAATCAGCCCGACGGCACTCGCAAAAGACGCCAACTCCGACAGCACAGAACCAGACGACAACCTCTCCCAGGATGCACAGGTGAGAGACAGAAACACTAGGAAGGAGACTTCAGACTTTCCTTACGGTCTTCCTCAAACCTGCATTTATTTACACAGACACAGCTACATTAGCATTACAATGCTTACAGACCCCAAAAATTGGAATAGTAGTGTACATAAAGTTAGATTTCAGCATTAATGAGAGTAAAATAGGTTAAAAGTTTTATGCCTTGACATGCGAAACTCAATCTGAAACTGTTTGATCTGCCACAAAACAGGATTTAAGTGAACTGGAAAAAAGGCTAAAAGCTGATGAAATGGTGACCAGTCACAGCACCAGAAATATATATTATATTTTATATATTTTCCCTGATACACATGTAAATCTTGATGTTGAATAGAATGCATTTTCTCCATGTTATTTGTCAGCTACTTTCTGTGAAGTATCTGTCATTTTCCCGCTGAGGTTTTGTTTGGTGCTGAAGTTCATCATTAATGAATGATTTTAAACGGTCACTAATAAATATTTTGGTCTTTCCCCGCAGCGGCGCTGTCAGAATCACGGCCACACTAGGAAACGAGCCAAGGTAAAGCGTGCAGCGACACACAGCACGTGTAGTTCAGTCCTAAACATGAGTTTAACCGCGACTCAACCGACCCATAACAACTGGATTTTTGGGTCTTATTGCCTGAAATCTTGTTTATGTATTACTTTCAATGCAAAAATCATAATTAACATCTCAATTGTATGCAATTAAAATAAATAAATAAATAACACGGATATTAAAAAATTTATTAAATAAAACAGGTGCTCAATGCATTAATTAGAGGACTTCGGTTAAAGGGTTCATGACAAGTCTCGAAGTCTTCAAAGTCTCAAAAAAAAAGCATTTTGAAGCTGTATGTTAAATTTTCCATGTGTAGCGTTTCATTTATGGTTTGTTAACATAATTCAAATATTGGAAGGTGTATTTAGGATACATTTCTAGATGCATATGAAACCAGACCAGTCCTTTAAATGAATGCGGAGAC